GAGTTTCCTGGGTGGGGATCTCTATCTGCCGCCGCTTTTATGAGCTCCTGGGCAGGTAGCTCAGGCTCACTGAGTAGATGTCAGCATGGGCTAGGGATCATTAGGGTCAATCACGTGTGGATTGATTCGCAATGATTACTCATTGCAGACTATACTGAGAATGGATTAGCCCCTGTAGGGTCGTTTACACCGTGAACGTTAGTTCGTTGAGAGTATGCCCTTGCTCTCATTTCTGGGGTAGTTCTGCTCTTCAAGAAGCTGTGTCATGGTTATGGAGCCCAGAAAAGAGCTACGAGAGCCGCTGGATATAATGATCAGGTGTTAAACCTACAGGCCCAATGCGAAAAAGATGAAACATTTCCCCAGATATACTGTGTGTTCTTGCATAGATTAACACGTGTAATTCATATTCTCGATCATGCGTATGCCTTCTTTGGTCTTCTCATCAGTAGTGGGGGCCCTTCTACCGCTTTTCACGCCCTTTGACCTAGCTTCGAATTTGCCAGCGCTTTTGATCTTATTTTTGAGGAAATGCCTTTCACGTGGATGAAAGCTCCGAGCAGTGAACTACTACTCTTCGTCGTCTTATTTCCTGTATACTGGAACATATTCTGAAAAAGGAACCCAGCGAAGGCACTCCAAAATCGATTCAATGCACAGAAAAGCCTTGTAAGAAGATCACCGGCGGCTATTTTCCAACTCGCAACTCGGGCTAGCGAAGCTGCCGGAATCTCCCGCCTTTGCATATTCTACACGCGCCATCAGCTCGTACGTGCACATAGTGAAACCCCTGGATGTGCGGTACCCAGGCTCAACTTAGTTAAGTCCAGAACATCGTCCTATACCTTGATGCGCGGGCCGAGCCGTTCAACCCCACATAACAAACCCTTCTATTAGTACATAGGTATGTATCCATATTCAATGCACAGGGAGAAACCTCCATAGAGCACCAGCTTAGGCGCCCCTGACCTCTTTGATCTCAGCCACAGCTAACCACTCGCTTCATTTGCCGGGGCCATTGTTCTTCTCTGGTAGAGCCAGGACGGCTGTGATGACATTCACAGCCTTCGAACCCCAAAGGTTATTGTATATCGTCCTGCACTACATTAACTTAGACAGAAGTTTAAGGAAGCTGTTTCAAGCTCCTAGAATTGAGAGCTATGTGTAGCTTAAACAGTAGAGCTGGGAACCCTGGCAATAGAGCATAGTTAAACCCCGAGGGCGCGCCATAGGCCCGAATGAGCTGTTCAGATTCTATATGTGAAGGGTTGTTTTCGACTTAAAAGCTACTTAGCAAGGACGAGAAAGCAGAGCAGCCTTTGGCTTGTGTCCTCATTTGCGAGATAAGTGATTCGTAGTCGTCAACTGCTAAGTACTAATGCTCTGAGTTGATCTGAGTTTATGAGGTTGCTATAAGGCAGGGTGCTATATCTTCGTATCTCGTTTAGATAGTCCAAACCCTGATTATTAGTTACCGGGCCAGCAAACAAAGCCTTCCGCTTCCGGGAGGATTCCTAGAAACATGGCTGGATCTGAAAGTCACAATCTTAGTGAATAGGCCCCCTGTGTGTTTCTGACTTGAATAGGAACGAGAATGCTAGGATGCTCAGTCATACTAGCGGCGCCAGTTCTCTTTTGATGGGACGAGATGTAAATGGAGAAGGGCTACCGTGCAGCACTTTATTGATGTATCTTAACCTGGCCGCTTGGGTGATTGTCAAGTGATGCCCAGTGAGCACCTGGACTACCTTGGAAAGCATTTGATTATGTGACCACCCGTGATCGGCCTGTGGACGTTCCGACCGGGGAAGATTAGAAGGTACCCTCAGGGACGTGCTCTATTTTACTTGGCGATCAAAAAGCGGCAAGAGGGGAGCACTAAAGCGGAAAGAGGTCTCAAATGCCAGCCCTTTTCGGATACATACAACACATGTATTCTACACACTATAAGGAGTAGAGTGGGAGTAAACCTGGAATTCAAGTGACACCCGGGCTCATATTGTACCAATGACTATAAAAAGATGTCTTTTGTGTTACCACAGCAAACCTGACGGGGATTACGGATATGTTTCTACACAATATACGATGCTGAAAAATCCAAACAGATTAATAATTCAAATGAAACCAATTACTCCATACATTTGACGGAGTATTATTTCCAGATCTGACCCCCAGATATTCGCGATTCAGGCCCGGGGTGTTGAAATCCTGTTAGGGCTAGGAGTTGCAAGTCGTCATCACGTCCCGCGATCACATCAGTTTGGAGAACTCAAGAAATCTTGAGATTTGAGATTCAACATTTTGACGTTTTTATACTTAGAAGGGTAGAGAAATACTCGATCTCTATTGAGAGATTTTGTATATGCTGTCAGGTCTCTACCAGCTCGCTTTGACAATTCCAGTTCTCATGGTCTCTCATCTTCAGGCAAATATAAGATTGATCGACCCTCGGCCTTCCAGTTCATCACGCCATTTATGCCCCGCCATGAGCAATGGATAACGACTACGAAGAGGTCTCGGAAGTACGGAAAGGCTCTCATTGCGCAAATGTGAGACGAAATTATACCACTGATCGTGCTAGGAAGCCCCAGAGCCAAGCATTGAGTGGAGGTACTCCAACCCTATATACGTGCTTATGGGATGGATTTGGTATCACTGCCCCGCGCCCTTAAATGAGGCGTGCTTTGGCTTTATCTTCTCGCCCGAGAGCTCGTATAAGTTAAGACCAAGGGCAATATAGATAGAGCCTAATAGTTGGTTCGACATTCTGTGATCTACCTTCCAAGTCATGCCATTACTACCCAGCATCATGTCCACCACTTCTACTTGCCTCCAACTCGAAGAGTTCCAGAAGACCCCGACCACCTTCCACCAAAACTTGTTTTCGGAGTCTATCTCAGATTATTCTAATGAGTCAAGATCTGAGAGTGAACCCCCATCACCGCGGTCTGAGGAGTCAAAACAAAGAGTCTTGCTTCTCAAGGGGGCCCGTGAACAGTATGCATTGGTAGACGACCATGCTATTCCTTCTGTTTTGCATGACGGAGAGATTCTTGTCAAGGTATGACACGCGGTGCGGATTGGATCGTGTATGACACGAGATGTTGACTATGGATTCACAGGTCCTTGCAATCGGCCTCAACCCTGTTGACTGGAAGGGACCGTAAGTATCATTGTTCCGTTGAAGATCAGCATTCCCAAATGATAGTCGATGACTGATTGATGAATTATATTAGGGCCTTCAACTTTGGTATCCCCAGCCTGCCATGGATCAACGGGCGCGATTTAGCCGGACTTGTACTACAAGTCCCCAAGGGATCGTCACGGCTTCGTGTAGGTGACGTTGTGCTGGTCCCTTCAACAGATTACCGGGACATTAGGAAAGCAGCATTCCAAGAATACGCCATTGCCACCGATTTCAATGCTGCCCGAATTCCGTCTTCAACATCTATACACGCTTCCGCATCTGTCGGCGTGGCCTTCGTCGCTGCTGCGTTGGCTTTGGGTGTCTCGTTTGGACTAGACTTCTCCCTTATCACACAAGTTCCCGGTCCCAATTTGCCCAATATTATCAAAAAGCTCGACAAAAACGATATACCCGCCGATATACATGAAGAATGCTTCGCGTCATTATTGGACTCAGAAAAACCTCAACGTGGAGACTGGGTTGCTATCTGGGGAGGTAAGGCAACCGGTGCTTCCAATACCATGATCTGATCACTGACATTCATACCACAGCCTCAACAACTACTGGTCTGATAACGATTCAACTGGCTAAGCTCGCCGGTCTACGCGTGATTTGCGTAGCTGACGCAGCACGGCACGGTGCCAAACTTGTGCAGTCCGGGGCAGATTTGCTAGTCGATCGACATGACCCTGATCGTGCAGTGGAAATTATCCGCGGTGTCACCGAAGGCAAGCTACGATATGCCATTGATATAGTCGGAAGGGAGACAGCAACACAGCTTGAAAAGGCTCTTAATCCTGATGGCCACGCCCATCTCCTTGGATTAAGCGGTCTGCCTAAAGAGAAGAACACGGGGATACGATATCACACGGTGCCTATTAAGCTCTTCCATACAGCTCCTGCCGTGGGTGAAGCTATGGTGTGCTGGTTGGAAGATCTTCTGCAATCAACGAATCTCACATTACCGGAGATTGTTCATGCAGAGGGTGGGTTGGAGGGTATTAATGCGGCACTCGAGACGTTGCGGAGTGGTTCAGTGTCGGGAAAGAGGATCGTGGTCGATCTGGGCTCTTTGCCTCGGTAGTCCACGAGGGCTCCCTGCTCTCTTCCTACACTTCATGAAATTCTGCTTTAAAGATACGGGCATTGGCGTTTTGGTATATGACTTGGATAGATCGAATTTTTTTAGACCATGGAACGAGTTCAAAATTTGACAGTTTTTGCCGTGAACATCTGAATCTCAAAGGCTGACTATGATATACAACATGGTGTATTGAGGTTCCCATATGCTGCATATCCACTTCAGGGTTTTATGTGCACAACGTGTACACACAGAGCCACAGGGCATATGCTAAGCATCCAGGCGTTGAGTCAAAACAGGGCGGGCCGATCGGAGGCGGAACCTTGGAAGGTACGGCCAATCAACGCGTTTCCATTACTTTGGTCCGGAGCGGTCTACGGGACTCCTGCGGGCTCCGTCAAAAAGCGTCAATAACCGCCTTCCCATTTTTGGATCGTTTGGCGCCGACCGATATCGGCCGCCGGCTGTGTCACCACCACGGCCAATAAAATTCTGAATATTCGCCGCTGACCGGCCGAGATCGGCCCTGCCCCTCGAGAAGCTTCCCAGCGACATCGCGGATGCTACAGGGCAGAAAAATATAACAGGCATTGCCACTCCAGCTCCCTCAGATCTCGGTACTTACCTTCATATTACTCTCCGCCGGAGCATTTACCTATTATCCCCTCCTTTCTCTCATACTCAATCTTGTACTCTCATATCCTCTCTTTCCAGCTACTTTCTACCCCCACTATGCCTTCCGCCGAGTCAAAACCCAAGACCTTGTATGACAAGGTCTTTCAAGACCACATCGTCAACGAGCAAGAAGATGGTACTTGCTTGATTTATATTGACCGACACCTCGTTCACGAGGTCACCTCCCCACAGGCCTTCGAGGGTCTCAAGAACGCCAGCCGAACAGTCCGCCGGCCGGACTGCACTCTGGCTACAGTTGATCACGTATGTTGAATCTCAAATACATTGGCAGCCTACGACTAATTGACCTGTTTTTATCGCATAGAACATCCCCACCACCTCACGAAAGAATTTCAAGAATGCCGCGGATTTCATTAAGGAGAATGATTCGCGTCTCCAATGCACAACCCTGGAGGAGAACGTGAAGGACTTCGGCCTCACCTATTTCGGTATGGGTGACAAGCGTCAGGGTATTGTCCACATCATCGGACCGGAGCAGGGTTTCACTCTGCCTGGCACAACTGTCGTCTGTGGTGACAGCCACACCTCCACACACGGTGCTTTCGGTGCTCTTGCATTCGGTATCGGAACTAGTGAAGTCGAGCACGTCCTCGCAACCCAGACACTCATTACCCGTCGCAGCAAGAACATGCGCATCCAGGTTGATGGCGAGCTTCCCGCTGGCGTCACTAGCAAGGACGTGGTTCTTCACATCATCGGTGTCATCGGCACTGCTGGTGGTAATGGTGCTGTTATTGAATTCTGCGGATCCGTCATCCGTGGACTGAGCATGGAGGCCCGTATGTCAATGTGCAACATGTCCATTGAGGGTGGTGCGCGTGCCGGTATGATTGCACCCGACGAGATCACTTTCGAATACCTCAAGGGCCGTCCTCTCGCTCCCAAGTACGGTAGCGCAGAGTGGAACAAGGCCACCAGCTACTGGTCCAGCCTGAAGTCGGACGCTGGAGCCAAGTACGATAGCGAGGTCTTCATTGATGGCAAGGATATCATTCCTACCATCTCATGGGGTACCTCTCCCCAGGACGTGGTCCCCATCACCGGCGTTGTCCCTGGCCCCGATGATTTCGAAGACGAGAACCGCAAGGCCTCTTGCAAGCGGGCTCTCGAGTATATGGGTCTCGTCGCTGGTACACCCATGAAGGATGTTGTGGTTGATAAGGTCTTCATTGGATCTTGCACAAACGCCCGTATCGAGGATCTGCGTGCCGCAGCTAAGGTAGTCAAGGGCCGTAAAATTGCATCCAACATCAAGCGCGCTATGATCGTCCCTGGATCTGGTCTTGTCAAGGAGCAGGCTGAGTCTGAAGGTCTTGACAAGATCTTCACTGATGCTGGTTTCGAATGGCGTGAGGCTGGCTGCTCCATGTGCCTGGGTATGAACCCAGATATTCTATCTCCCAAGGAGCGCTGTGCTAGTACCTCCAACCGTAACTTCGAGGGTCGCCAGGGTGCCCAGGGCCGTACCCATCTCATGTCCCCCGCTATGGCTGCCACCGCTGCCATTGTCGGCAAGCTCGCTGATGTTCGTGAACACGTCGTCGCCAGCCCCGTCCTCGGCAAGGCCTCACCCAAGGTTGATGTTCAGCAGCCCAAGTTCGCATCCCCCGAGACCGAGGATGAACTTGACCGCGTCCTGGACTTCCCTGCCGACAATGAGCCCCACGCCAACTCTTCTGCCCCTGCCAGCGGTGGTGGCAAGAGCACCGGTCTTCCCCCTTCACCACTCTGAAGGGTATCGCCGCTCCTTTAGATCGCGCCAACGTCGACACCGATGCCATCATCCCCAAGCAATTCCTCAAGACTATCAAGCGCACTGGTCTCGGCAGCGCGCTGTTCTATGAGCTCCGCTACACCGACGACAAGGAGAACCCAGATTTCGTCCTGAACCAGGGCATTTACCGCGACTCCAAGATTCTGGTTGTTACCGGCCCCAACTTCGGCTGCGGTAGCTCCCGTGAGCATGCCCCCTGGGCCCTGCTAGACTTCGGTATCAAGTGTATCATCGCCCCCTCCTTCGCCGACATCTTCTTCAACAACACCTTCAAGAACGGCATGCTGCCTGTCGTCGTCTCTGATGAGGTTGCTCTGCGGAAGATCACCGATGAGGCCCGCGCCGGCCGTGAGGTCGAGGTTGACCTTGTCAACCAGGAGATCAAGGATGCTCAGGGTAACAAGATCACCTCCTTTGAGGTCGAAGAATTCCGCAAGCACTGCCTTGTCAACGGCCTCGATGATATCGGTCTTACTCTCCAGATGGAGTCTAAGATCCGCAATTTCGAGACCAAGCGCACCCTCGAGACCCCTTGGCTGGATGGCAGTGCTTACCTTCGCCGTGACCGCCGCGGCGCGACTATGGTCGAGGCTGCTCCAGTTCCCAAGACCAACCGTGGCGATGTGAAGAACGAGCCTCTTGAGTGGTAGATGTTGTTCTTTGGGCTTTTCGAGTGCTTGACTTGGTGATTGGCACCAATCCATCTTACTGTCATGTTTGGATTTTAAAATCATATTCCCCTACTTGTTGCGGCTACGATTTGTGTTTTGTTTTGCATTGGGCTAATCATGGGCTATTGTATAATTTGGATAGCCTACGAATTTCAACGAGAATGAATTATGATCGTGAATTTATACCTGTAGTTCTATAGAACAAGTTCTTGTATTCTAACTTCTGATCCATGAAGAATATCTTAATATCAGCACCCCTTGTTTGTCCCGGGACCAAGATTATCCATGGACTGTATCATAGGTGGATTTTCTATGCCGTCGACGACTAAATGTTTGATACCCGAAGGCCCAGAAAAATGGGTTGTTGCAGTCGTAAACCAGGTCACAACGCCGAGCAATGTCAATAGCCCGACAGCCGCACTAGTATAATTCATCGATTCGGAGGTGACCGGAGCATCGGAGGGGAAATTGAATGTAATAGAAGCGAATAGTAGAAATAATAGTCCAATTGCACTGAACCCGAGTGACACTGGAAGTGGCAATGAATATGGTCCACCGAATGATGGGGATTGGCGATGAAAGAAATAGCCGAGTAGTCTAGAAAACAGGACGAGACTGTAGGAGACATCTAAATTGGATTCATATTAGCTGTTAGAGACTCAGAGTTATGGATTCGAATATGTCCACGTACAGAAACCTGTGGTAGCTATCGAAATCACCGTTGCAAACCCCGTTTCCGTACCGAAGTATATCGCATTCAGACCTAGCTGCACTCCCACAGTGAGAAAAATGGCGTAGATAGGTATCTTCTTCCTCGGCTCGACTTGAGACCATAAGCCCGACAATGGAAGCCCACGGTCTCGCGAAAAGGCATATACTGATCGTGATCCTTCGGCGACGAGACCGAGAGACGAAACCATGATGATGACCGTGATCATACTCGCCATAATGCAGGTCCCAGCTGTGCTTTGGGTTGAGTCGTAAAAGATCTGGATGACGGGTACTCCGGTGCTTGAATTAGCTGTTGCTTCGATGTCACCCATGCAAAAGCACAATGTCAGGAGGAAGAGTAGTCCAGTCACAGCCCCCATGATAACCGACATGATGATTGCCTTGGGTGCATCTCGACTAGCGTGGGTCATCTCTTCTGTCATATGACTTGGTGCGTCGTAGCAACACATGCCGAAGAAGCTTTGTAGAATCCCAATAATAGTAGCCATCGAAGCCCCAAAGCCGGTCATATTGCGAAACTCATGGAACACAAAGTATGTGTCTTGCTTCTGGTGGCTGGTTGCTAACAGAGTGGTGATCACAATGATGAACGAGACGATGTTCCACACCAAGATGTAGCGGGACAGACTATGCAGAGCATGCGGTGTAAGTATATTGATAGCGAGAGAAAATAACCCGACGGCCCAGGCAACGAGGACGGTGTGCCACCTCTCGATCACAAAGTCCGGGAAGACTAGGTTGACTTGGCCTAGGATATAATTCGATCCCAAGGAATTGTTGACCGCGCCCATGGCGATAAGTCCTGGCGAGCACATTAGCAGGTATTTACCAATCATCGACAGCTACGAACCGGCCAGCATAAACCATCCAGTGATATATGACAGCTGTCGGGAAACGCGAGGCGGTGCTAGCATGGCTACCCACGAGTATTGGCCTCCTGCCACTGGCCAGCGCGAACACATCTCAGCCATTGCCAGCGCAATGAGCATTGTGACCGAGCAGACTCCAATCCAGCCAAAAATAATGACAGGCGGACCACCTGCCTGGATACCAATGATGAAGACGCCGCTTAGGGCTGTCCAGCTTTTCGATATTAGAGATGAATCTTGTGCCCGGCTTGAGGGAAATTCTCACCAGGTCACAATACTGAAACTGAAGCCCACCATATCCAACAAACTGAACGATCGTTCAAACTCCTGCTCATACCCCAAATTGTCAAGAGCGACAGCCTCGTCCATTGAGCCATCGAATACCTTCTTAATCGCCATGTTGATCAAGTGATAATTCTTTGGGGGGGGCCTATCCATCCTTTGGAGGTGACTATCCATAGCCGATGCCGCGAAGCAAGGGATATATACACCGATTTCGCACGAAGATATACCCGACAATTGAATTGTAACAGATAGGATGATTCCTATTGAAGGTATTACGGTGCTCTACCGATCAGCCTTGAAATACTGAGTATGTGTGGCTAAGATGCCTGTTGCTTGTTAACTGATATTATATCATTATATTAGACACTAAGGGCTGTCTCTGTTTGACAACCCACAACAAACAGGCAATTATATCACCAATGTGAGCAAAGAAATTCTCGAAAAAAACCACAATTGCATTGAATCACCAATCCATTCCACCCACTTCCAACAGAACAAGTCCACAGTTGATCAGGGCTTCGATAATTGCTCCCTCCGGAAGAAAAGAAGAAAGCCGCCACTTCAATGTAGACGTTAGACAGGATCCGTAATAACCTGCTTATAGGGGAGAACATACCAGATCGAAAGCTGCAATAAAAGAGCAACCCAAAACCAAGCGTTAGCCAACGCACCCACACCAGCCGTGATATCTGGCGAGATAGGCCCTGGCCCGATGTTGTTTGGTGCAAAGGCTCTTGCGCAGATAGTCGCCAGAGAACCCAGAACCTGTGACGCCAGAAGGGTGAAGCAGATATGCATGCGTGTCAGTGTTTGCAGCAAAATCATACCAAACCCGAGACCTTGTAATGCGTCCAAGACCCCAAGCCATAGCCAAAGACTGCGGGATACAAGAGCCCCCGCGGTATAGCTTCCAGCCCAGGGGAGGAAAAGGCCTGATCCAGATGTGCCCCACCAGATTTGAGCCCAACGTGGAGCCCCCAGACCACATGCGAGAACTGGGAGGATCCAACTATGGGACTTAGATAGTCTAGCCAGTAGGAAGAGAATCGCTATCCAGGCAAACCCAAAGAATGCGACACAAAGAAGTAGGATTTGCCATGTGCTAGCGTGCTGGGTAATCCAGAGGACTGTGATAGCCATTAGTATTGTCCAGTGCATAAGAAAGAATAGGTTGATACGGCCTGAAAGGTGAGACTCACAATTCCAATTCCGACCATATGGGGCACTCAAAAAGAAGTTTTGGATAATGACGACGGCCCAGTTCCAAAGTACGATCTTGCGCCGGAAGACAGATTTGTAGAATGAGGGAACTTTGCCGGGAGTCTGGTGATAGTAGTTTGGCAAGCCGAAATAGACGATGAAGCCAATTGCCCATAAAAGAAGAGTGATTGGTGCGCATATTGCTCTATGGAAAATAGTTAGCAAGTCTCCCATCTTTCAATAAAGATTAAGATGCTATACGCACGTCATCCTCCAGGTGTTGGTGATGCTACTCTGCACATCCATGATTCCCGCATTGGTAGCTTTAGTCAAAGTTGAACCCCAGTACCAAAGAGCGATGACATAGACTTGCTGCGTGCCTTGAATAAGGCAAGCACGGAACACCCATTGCTTGACTGGTGCACCGCTTTCATCACCGAAATTGAGGGCGAAGAAGATAGAACCACTCGATGATGCAGCAGCATACATACTACTTCCGACGTTTTGAATCCATCCGCGATTATATGAGTTGGGCTCAAAGTGTGCCATTCCGATGATCAAAAAGGCCATTCCATACAGGAACCATGGCACACTCAAAACAAGCACCGATTTGTAGTATCGGAAGAATAGCCACCATAGAATAGAGGTGATAAGGTAGACCGTTGCAATCCCGTATAGCTTCGTAGCGGTCTGGCCAACCTCTCCAGTGAGAAGGGTAATTTGGTAGGAATTTGCAGCAATGATCTGACCCAGACCGAGGAAGAGTGAATATACCGGCCAGTCTCCGATGCGCATTTGCATCCATTTCTTCAGCCCGGTTGGTGGCACATAGTCATCACCAAGAAGGAATTCATCCGGCTGGGTATCTTTTCTCTCGCGCTCACCACTTTCATGGGATGCTGTGTCGTCGTTGGTAACTGACGCAGCTGGCGATACTCCTGGCTTGCCCCGATGTACTGAGCCAGCTGGGGATCCTTGATTGAGGCCAAGGCGTGCATCACGGAATTTGTTGAACCATTGCTTTTCACTTTTTTCGAGGTATTGCTCAATACAAAGTTGGGTGTCTGAGTTTGCCCCATTGAGGTCCTCGAGCTTCTTCTCGAACACCCTGTAGTACTCGCCATTGCTATCAGTGAAGAATGGGTCAACCTTTTGAAGCTTGTAGTCTTTCTTATCTCCAACAACCGAATCGACAGACAATACTGAAGCATTGTTGAGACGGTGTACTGGCTCCGCCCATGGGCGAGAAGGAGGAGCAAGGGTTTCGTCTGTTCCTACCGTGCTTGGGGCAGCTGAGCTACAGGGCGTGTTGGTATATTGAGCCAACAAGGAGCCTTGACTTGCGCGCTGGGCCGAGAGAGCCTCTTTGGTGAGGGCCACACCCGCAGGCTGGGAAGGTTGTACTCTTCCTGAGTCTACCCCTTCAGGTAATATGGAATAATCATCATCGCCATAACAAGTCGCCATCATTTCATCGTCGCTATCTTCTTCAGCCTCTGGTGAGGCTTTATTGACACTCTCGTCACTGCCTTTCCCGAGCTCGCGTCGACCGCGAGGCTCCACGGTGCCAGACGCCGGTCGAAGAGTCAGAGACAACTGCCGACTGAGTCCCGACCTAGGTCTCTCATCAAATTCAGGGCTAGCGTCATGGCTGTATACTATAGAACTTCGATGTGGTGATCCCGTAGTACCGGGCTGGCCTGAGGGTTGTAATGGGGGTGTGGATGCGCCTGATTTTGTTGATGCAGCCTGCGGTGTCATCATCCCATAGATGGCGTTGTATGCCCCAGAAGCGGCAGACTGGCTCTGGGACTTGTTTCGTTCCTTTTGATGGACTCGAATCGATGTGGACTGTAAGATCTCAAGATCTTCAACCCACTGGGCAACTGGGAATCGTTGCTTAGCAGATCTTGCTCGCATCATCGCCCTGACCTCGTTCTTTGAGTTCAAGGCACTGTCGATAGCTAATCTAAACTGCTTTAACAAGTGGGAGGTAGTCGTGGACTCAACCGTATACCACCAGCCAGGCATCTGTCCAAGTCCCCCTACTCTCGCTCCAATGCCAAGGGCACCCTTCCGGCCAAATTCGACAGCAACAAGACCAAAGGGCTCATCGCGAGACGGAATCAGTGCGAAGTCTGCGCCAGAGAAGATGAAGTGTGGCAAGACCGTGAACTGGGGTTTGGAGCATACCCGGCCAGGGTAAAGCTTCATCATTCGGTCCAGTTTCAACGCGGCAAATTTGCCATATAGATCAATGAGGGGACCAATACAGATTAGCTGAACATTTTCTCGTTTCTCTAATATACCGGGTAAAACATCCGCGATCAAGTCGATACCCTTCTGCATCGACCATCTGCCAACAAAGACTAAAAGCTCAGCGTCGGCTCTTTGTTTGAGGCCAGCCCACTCTTGAGCTTGAAGCTTTAGCCCTGCTCTGCGGACCTCAAAGTCATCATCGATATAAACATCCCTATCCTTGGGTAATGATTTATTCCACTCGCCTGTATCGGAGGGGTCGGGATTCGGTAGGTGTCCAACTTTTCTTAAGCCCCAAAAAATTGGATATCGAGCATATGACCGCTTGCCATACTTCTTTGACACACCAACAGCACCGAAGCCTTGTTGGTGAAGGCGAAGGTAGCTTGCACCGGCATGAAGAAGATTGAAGATCTCCCCGAACTGAACATAGCGTGTTACAACGTCTAAATCAAGATTGAAAACAGAGCTGACTTCCGCTTTCTCTTTCTGTGTCCGCATAGGCCATAAGCCTTGAAATTCGGCGTTGTGAAGTGACAAGCAAATCGGGATAGTCTCAGGCAAAAGATACAAGGGAGCCACCGAGCCGTGATAGTCATTGACGTGGTACATGTCAACGGGGAAGCGTTTCAATGCCTGGGCAATGCACTGATTCCAGGCAGAGTAGTAGATGGCGCTGTCAAGGTCGTCCATACGGGCAGGGTAGGGCTCTGTGGCGGATTGCTGGCGGAAAACGGGTGCATCCAACAAAACATATGTGATGTTTCTCAGTTGGTGGTACTGAATCTTGATTTCATACGAATTCCCCAAAATCATGACAAACATCGAATCTGCTTGTTTATCAACAGGGTACTTCACTCCACCAACGCAGGGAATAACCCAGATAAGATCCTGGTGTCCGAGCTGTTTACCCATCAACTGCGCCATAACGCCCAAGCCGCCGATTTTTATCTTGATTTCCCAGTCATCGATCTCATATTCCATGGTTGCAATGAGCACCTTTCGTCGGCGGGTAGTTCGATTGCCAAAAGCAGAAGTGCTTTGAAGAAACTTCGACCTGCTTGTACTGCGTCTGAAGGGGTTTTTGGACTGTCCATCCTTTGAGTGGCCAGTCTTGAATCGATTGATGAAATCCATTGAGACTAGCGTCTTTTTTTCACTCACGCCGACTTGGTTGAACTTGATTCGGTAGAATGTTTTCATGAACACATAAGCGCAGGCTGCCGCTGTGACGATGGGAACAATCCAAAGAATGAAAAAGAGAGCCATTTGAACATATTTTGAGCCTGTAGGAACAAGCTTGAACTGCAGATTGGAGTCATCGAGTTGAATCTTCCAAGCGACATGCGGGTTCGGTGGATGCTGAGTGATGTTTATGGTAGTAACACTCAGTGAAGAAGGTGGTAAACGGTCTAGAATGGAGTCTCCGTCGGAATCTCCGTAGATGTAGCTTTGGTCTGGTTGATGATCAGGATTCATACCCCAGACATTTAGCTGACCCTGGGCAGGCCATTCAGCCAGAAAGCGGAATTTCCAGAGGCCATCGGTATCTTGCTTCACAACGTTATCCAAGCCAGCGTCATATCCGTACCTATTGAATGGACCGTTGAAAAAGAAATGAGGGAAGCGGCGCCGAATAGCAGGATTCCAGTCCG